CATTTTGTTGCTGACCTAGTAAAAAAATAGCAGGATGGTCTGAGCGGGTGCATAGTAGCGTCCCCACGCCCCCCCCCCCTTGAAGGCAGACCTCCCTAGCGTTCAGCCAATTCGTATGACTCCTTCCTTGCTCAAGTAGTCTGCTGCACAATCTACAAAGATTGCCTTACTTTCTCGGCTCCACAATGAGTGACAAGGGCACTCTGGCCACTATAATTTGCAAGTGGGACAGCATTCGCAATAACGCACCGGACTAATTGGACCAGGAAGGACTTGTTGGACAAGGAAGGGTTTCTTGGACCACGAAGGGCCTGCGCCTAGAGCGCAGATGCTCAGAGTCCTAAAGGGATGGCGGACAGGATAGCAGACAAAGGCCACTGAAGCAATGGGTAGTTAAAAAAAACATGAGGCGAGTCAGGGGAGGGGATTCCTGAGAGGGAGAGAGACTCGGGGTGAGTCGTACGTAAAAGTAATATCACCTTTAAAAAGGTAGAGTATGTGAGGTCATAGAGCGCTATGAGGGCGAGAGCGCAGAGAAGACTAGAAAGTTGGGTTGCTCATGGCGACTCTGGTCGTCTCCGCTCTCAGCCCAGGTCTCGATAAGGGGAAGGGACGCGGAAGCCCTGTCGTGTGGCCTCACTCAACCATGATACTACCGGTAGCTGCGCGAAGTTTAGATACCTACGCCCGCGAGGTTGCGGCTTGTGCACGCTGTAGTTCTCCGACGATTAGGCTGTGTTCATACTGCGGTAGTGTCCTCCAGCGACCACTAGCGCCCACCAGCGACCACTAGCGCTTCGAGCGTCCGGCAGCGTCAGCGAAGGAAAGTATAGATATCGATCTAGCGTCTGCCAGCGTCTACCAGCGTTCACAGCGACCGGGAGTAGAGAGTATGGGGAAGTAGGAGGGTAGCAAACAGCTGGATTCGTGTTCAATGTACGATGTAGTGTAGTTGTACGGTGCGGTTGCACACGCCGCAATTTCACGACGCCTAATCCAGCTGTTTGCTACCCTCATACTTCCGCACACTCTCTACTTCTGATTGTGCGTGAACGCTGGCAGACATTAGATCGATACCCATACTTGCCTAGCATTTGACACGCTGGCAGACGCTGGAGGACGCTGGCAGACGCTGAATCGATATCTATACTTTCCTAGTCGCTGACGCTGCCGGACGCTCGGAACGCTAGTGGTCGCTGGTGGACGCTGCCGCAAAGTATGAACGCAGCCCTGGGCAGCTAGACTTCGCGACTGCAGCGCTTCGGTCGCGCGATTCGACGATCGATGCGCATGCTTTCGACTGCATCGATCGCGTCGAACGCGCGACCGAAGCGCTGCCGTCGCGAAGTCTGAACGCTGCCTTAGGATTAGTTGCTTGGAAGTTGGAATCGCAGTGGGTCTGGTCGCGCCCGACGAACTTGTGGCATGCGGCAGGTCTGAGTTTACGGTTTCGGAAGCATTCAGCTAAAAGTGCTGCAGTTTTTGTGTTGTGTTTTTGTTATCATATGATTAAGCAGGGTACATTCTACGATTGGATATTTAATTCATCGAGTATATTCAACTATCCAGACACGCCTGACACCTTCCTTGCTGGTGCTCCTTCATTTACTCAAACTCCGCTTGATCCTGAAGTGAATGCCGTAGTGACCAGCTTACGTACCGGCAGTGTGATGAATGTTGAGGTGGGTGGCTGTGCTCTATAGGCTGAAGTGCGGAGATCCACTTGCCGACAACGCGTAGAAAACAGCATGGTACTTCTTAGCCAGCTGACCCTAGATAACAGTGTGTTAATACCTCTATGTTAGGTCAGGTTCTGGTGCAAAGACCCTGCGTGTTGCACCACTGGCGCCGTCGCAACGTGGATCTTCTGCGCTACATCCTGCTCATATTTAGTTGCAAATACATGATTTCAGCAAATTCGGCAACTGCAAAATATTCTTCAATCCTATGAGCAAAGCCTCCAAACAAAGGAGCTGATCGCTAAGCGAAAACAGTTACAGCTACTACAGAACGAGCTTATCGAACAAAGGAAAAAGATCGAGGAACAGAGAAAACTGGAGGAGGAGCTGAGAAAAAAGGTTATTCACCTACTCATACGTTGAATGAACCATGCTACTTTTTCCTTCTATCAGTATCGGGTGGCGGTAATGCTTCTGTTAGTATGCGTTCATACTTTTGCGCCAGCGTCCACCAGCGTCTACCAGCGTTCACCAGCGTTTACGACGCGTTCGCAGCCATCAGCGTAATTTAGGAAAGCATAGATATCGATCTAGCGTCTACCAGCGTCTGTCAGCATCCACCAGTGGCCACCAGCAACGGTAGTAGAGAGTATGGGGAAGTAGGAGGGCACAAACAGCTGGCATCAGAGTCGTGACGAAGTTTGCCGCGCGTGCGCAGCCGCCACCGCGAACGCTGAAGCCACTGCAATTTTGGTCTGATGTACAGTGTGGTGTATTAGTACGGTACGGTTGCACACGCCGCAATTTCACGACGCCTAATTTAGCTGTTTGCAACCCTCTTACTTCCCCATACTCTGCTATTCCGGTTGCGTGTAAACGTTGGCGAGAGTGGCAGACCTAGACATCGATAACTATAAACGTGTTGGCGCTGTCACAACAGTATGAACTCGGACTAACCAGGTTCCACAGCCTGTCGCGGCCGCTTTATTGCCGCTCAACACGCGAACACCGGAAAGAACGCCAAGAGACGATTAGGGATAAAGCAAACGCTACCTCACAATTTATTAGAAGCGTTCCTGAAGAGAGACGAAAACGGTCCAACTTTCAGAGCAAAGAGCTGGAGGTCCAAAGACAAGCAATGGAGCTTCAACTGCAGCAGCAGCTTAAAATGTGGCACAATTCATTCAGTTCAGGCAGTTCAAGGGTGAGCTAGTTCGTTATTGCTTGATTGCTTGTGTCCTTGTCCAATACAGATAATGTTATTTGAGGATCCAAATATGCCATTGGTGCCTTTGGAGCTATCTGAAACAGCCCTTCCTCCAGCGCCTCCTTTGGTCAGTTTATTGTATTTCGAAAAGGAACTTGTTTCCTCTTCTTCAGTTTTACTTACTGATAGGGATAATAATATCCGTCCTCCATAGGGGGGGGGGATGGCGCGGTGTGCTTACTTCTTCGCTCGTGCTACAACATCGCTGCCAGAATGGTAGGCAATACTTTATGGGGAGTTGCTACCATAGAGATAGTGATCACGGGTAGGGCTCGGACGAAGGTATACAGCACCAGCCCACGTGGAGAGGTGGGGAGAACATTTGGCAGCACAGGTTCCATATGCTTGAGGCTCGTTGCATGACTTACCGCAAGGTTTCCCGGCGCTCTACGGCATCCGCAGCCAGTCAGCGACTAGGAAGCATAGATATAGAGCTAGCGATCTCCAGCGTCTAACCACGTCCAAATAGCTGACCGAAGCAGAGACTGTTGGTAGGGATAGGGCGATAGGAGGGCACCAGCTGCTCTGCTAGCTTCCGTATCGCCGCTATAACCGCTAATCGCTGTCATGCTTGTACCGTCCGGGAAGTTCCTTCAGAATCTCCAGAGCTAAGAGGAATGCCGCTGGTCTCCGGTTAAACGCAGGCAGACGTTGGATGAGCTGGAATCGATTCCTAGTACCTGGCTGTACTTTCTTAGCCGCTCGAGGAAGCTGCTGCTGTCGATGGTTGGACACCTGGCCAGACGCCTAAACCGATATCTGAAATCCTTCGTCGCTGACGCTGCCGCACGCACGGAACGCTGGGGGACGCTATTGGTCTCTGGTAGACGCTGCCAGACGCTGGGAGAAGCTAGATCGATACCTATACTTCCCTAGCCCTCGAGACGCTATGGTTTGCTGGGTGGACGCTGCCGCAAAATATGAACGCAGCTTAACAACAGCGCGACGCAACTCCGTGGCGGTTTAAGAAAAACCTGGCTGCATGCCATTTAACCACTTATCAGGCCAATGTTCCGAACCAGAACTGGGTGTTTTCTAGAAACTTCGAAATTTTTCATTCAAAAAAAGTTAGAACGATTATCACAGCTTTCAGCAAAGGGGGAACTAGTTACCTTAGTCCGAACCCTCCTTTCTGGATTGCGCATCGCTTCTCAAACACTTGGTGACCAACTAGTCAAGATGCCTTCCTTAAGAAAGAACAACTTTTTTCAAGCTCAGATAGCACCTTCTCCACTATCTATGGGTGTGGGTACCGTAACGCCTAAGGAAACTCTACACGTGCTCAAAGAACGCCTACCGTCGCCTCCACTTCTGTCTCGTTCGAGTGAAAGCGCCGACGTTGACGTGTCTGCAGTGGAAATGGCAAAGCCACTTTTGGAAAGGGGTGACTCGACTCAGGTAAGTTGGGACCATCCCCTTTCGAAATCTGGTTATTTTGAAAGGTTCTTATCCAGGAAAAAGAAGAAGATCTCATTCCACCGGTGGCGGTGAACCAATTCTGGCCAAAAGTGGTTACGAATTCCAACAGGAATCGTAAGCTGCCGACAACAACGGAGTCTCAGTCTCAATCAGGGTATGTTCTTTACTGGAAAACGAAACCGTAGAGCTACTACATATTCTCCATCATTACATCTTCTTTTTTCAATATGAAACCCAGTGTTAGTTCTCCTGATTACTACACTCGAAACCCTTGAGATGCGGTAGGCGTGGCTGCGTACCTTACTTCAGCTAAATGTGGCGGCTGTGCTTTTGGTGGGACATTTTCATTACACAACAATTGTGATTATGTCTCTGTCCAGCACCGGCAAAATGACAGTTTACACTGGTAAAATGACAGTCACGCTGAAATATCTCACGAGTAACTCATTCTATGCAATGTTCAAATGCCACGCCCATTCCATCCCTGGGATAAGGGGTGTATCTCCATTTTCTCAGCAAGAAGAGATCATGTTTTATGTCAGCATCTTTTCGAAACCCACGAAAACTTGAATTTCAGAGAGGACAGCGACGAATTCACGTCTTCATGTAAATGCGAGAAGATCTCCCTTCAAAAAATGAAAGGCAAATGGTCAATGGCTTTAGCGTCAAAGGCACTAATTGAGAAATTGCGAGAAAGAATGAGGAAATTATTACCGAAAGAAGCCAAGCCTCAACTGAGCTGCAGCAGAATGACTAGTCAGTTTACTTAATGTACAAATGACATAATGGGGTTACTTGCGAATGCCAGCACTACGTGAATGACACTCTCTGTGGAGGCCCTAAGGGTGCGTTCATAGTTTGCGTCAGCGTCCACCAGCGACCACTAGCGTTCCGAGCGTCCGGCAGCGTCAGCGACTAGGAAAGTATAGATATCGATCTAGCGTCTGCCAGCGTCTACCGGCGTCCACCAGCGCTCATCAGCGACTGGGGTAGAGAATATGGGCAATAAGGAGGGTAGCAGACTGATCAGGCTTCGTGAAATTGCAGCGTGTGCAAGCGCACCGTACGACTACACTGCACCGGAAATTAAATTGTTCATTTCAGTTCAGTTCAATTCAAATTTCACGACGCCGCCCTGCTCACGCCGTTCGCCTACCTTTCTACTTCCCAACACTCTCTATTGGCGGTCTCTGGTGAACGCTGGCGGGGAATGGTAGACGCTGAAAGACGCTAGATCGATACCTATTTCCCCCAGCCCTTGAGACGCTGGTGGACGCTGAATGACGCTAGTGGACGCTGCCACAATGTGCGTAGCCTTACTCAGGGTTGTGTACAAGGCACTAACGATTCAATTACCCTCACAAGGGAACCCCAACAGGTCGATCCGGCCATTTACAATGAGATGTATACACGTGTAGACGTGTCTTGAGCCGCTGAATCCGAATCTGCCCTCCGATTTTGTGCGCGAAACGATTCCCTGAAGCGGAGTTCAGCCGCACCATTTAATCTTTGCGTGTGTTTGCCCCACAGCGCTGACAGGCAACAGCGCCAACACACGTCAGCCTGGCCCATTTGCAACGAAATGTACATCATTGTACTCACCTTGCCACGATGAACACAAGACTATCTTTAAAATTTGCGGAACGATTCTCTGAGCGGAGTTGTGAGGTTTTTCTTTATTGCTTTTCTTCTTCCGGGCGCGCCAGCGCCAAAGCGTTAGCACCTGTAGCGCAACTCACAGCGCTCTTCGCGCAAAACAGGTATCATATTCGTGTTCAGGGGGTCAAATAACCCCTAGAGACGTCACCCCAGCGGAATCCGAGGTTCTAACTCATTTTCGAGAAAATGGGTTATGAATAGCTGTGGCTGACTGATAGCCAAAGCGATACTACGACTACCATACTGATGATGACTGGTTTTCCAACTGAAATACCTCTTCATGTGCCTTTTCGCAAAGACATTACCCGGCTTACTTATTCTTGCCGTTTGCATCATCGTCCTCTTTACGAGGTAGTTCCATCTCGAGACCATTCACCAACGGTAGGTGAGCTCCCCTATGCTTTCGATTACCCATGAAACAGCACACATTTTCCAAGTTAGGTGGAAATATCAGATTCGGCTAGAAATTTGTCCCCAGGGGTAGTTTGACCCGCTGAACATGAAACGGAGCTAAGATTAAATGGTCCGTAACTCCCTTTGGAGAATCGTTCCGCAAAATCGGAGGGCAGATTTGGATTCGGCGGCTCAAGACACGTCCATATTTATACATCTCACTGCAAATGGCCGGATCGACCTGTTGGGGTTCCCTTGTTAGAAAACTGAGGCTCATCCTCAAAAACAAGGGCTAATTCGAAGAACTCATGGATAGTACTCCATATTCATGCTCGGCAGTGTAGGCTATTCGTTCAGTGTTGACGCCGAAGATTTCCGATGTCGCGCAGGATGCCCGTATATCATGGGAATTTCGCACTACTGGATCACGTAAACTTTACCGGGTAACGTCTCTAAATTATTTGGGAATGTTTTTTCAGAATCAATTTATTTTTGACAAACGATTGATCCTATATGCGTTACGTGAGAAATTTCGTTTTCAGCTCACAGGGAGCGCCCTTTCAATGGACCACAGATCGGTCCGGCTACAACTACGGGACCTGTCAAATGAGATTTTCTCTGTACCAAGTAAGTCAAACTAGTCAGGCAGCACAGCTACCCCTCCAGGAGAGTACGGGAGGATATAAGAGTAACGTTGCACAACCACACAGTCTGGCATCGATCGGCGCTGGCAGCTAGCGTTTTGGGAGAGTATACAAGAAAAGGAGTGTATCAGACTGTGATCAGGCAAAGCGTACCTTCCTATTCGCCGATGCTTTCTGATAGCAGTAGGGTCGGCGCAGTCAGATACTCTTCCATGGCTGCTTTCCCGTCCACAACACTGGAGCGATGCAATGCTAGCCCGTTGACGCGCGTACAGCGCGTTCATAGTTCCGATCGCGCGACTGGATCTGCACGACTACGCTATACATTGGGCCGCGTTCACACAATGCGAATTTGAATTGTGCCGTTGCGGCGGTGACTTTGGAGGTGGAGCATTCGCGGTAGTGAGCGCTTGACTGGATTGCGCGATCGCGAAGTATTAACGCACTCTTGGAGCGCGTTTCCGCAAACGCCTTCTTAGAGAGGAAAAGACGCCGTCACCAGTGATAGACTTCCTTGTAGTTAATGTACGCCCTCGCTTTATGGCTGTAACTCAACTCGTTGGCATAAAGTCGTATATGAAATACGATTTTCAGTGTGTGTGCTCAAGTATTCCGGTACATTCGAATACCAGTACATGGTTGTAGCAAATGGAAATGGTGAGCTATCCTTAACGGTTCATGGTGCACAACACGGCGAAACAATAGGACGTGTCAAGAAGAGTGGCTTCAACCCATCCTGCTATTTTTTACGAATGGCTGCCCGGCCCAGGCCAATTCTTGAAGAAAACGCTACGCAGCCTCCTTGCACATCTTCGGACACGCCCCATCGCTTCGCCGTGTTAAGCACCGGCTAGACTGAGCTTTTTAACAGGTAGTGTTCAGGTCCATGTCGAGAAGCTGCTCTACTTGTAAGGAATGTGGACAAGTTCTTCGACGAAGACAACCCTGAACTTGTATCATTTCTGAAACAGGTGAGCAAATAGCGACTACATCATCTCGGGAGGCCAAATAGTTTCAGTTTTACTGGTTCAGAAAAAAAATTCGGTGCAAATTTTCTCTGAATCATTGAAATGTGGGCTTTATAACGCTCACGCCGGAAGCAGCAGAAGACAAAAAATGAGATTTTTACCAGTCTAGATATGACCCAACTCTCGTCGAGGATTCCTCGCCATGCTCTTGACCCACCCTCCCCACCCCCTCAAACAATGACACTGATCTTCTGGCTAAGGCACACATGCCTTCAAAGGCAGCGGGCACAGTCGCAGGAGGCGGGCAGTTGCTGCCAGCGTCATTGGTGGAAGGGCTGCGACAGGGCGTTCGGCCGCATCTCAACTCGGCCAATGACGTTGGCCCTCAACGGCCGGCCCACAGGAATCATGTTCACTGTTGTTGAGTGCTCCTACAAAGTGATTC